AGTTATTCGAAAAATACCCACTGCTCTTCTATTTTGAAATGGATATTAGTTCATGTTCAAATCGTTTGAAACAAAACGTTGCAACCTAGTAAATAAATAAAACATATCGTTCCACTCATCTTTCAGTTATAAAACATTCATACAAAAAAATTTAACAACTGAATTATAAACTTTTTCTTCTTTTTCTTTTTCATATTCTCAATCAACAATTTACCAATACAGTTCAATTTTCAAAATTATACTTATTTGATATAGTGTAAGTTTCCTCAAAAAGGTTCATCGAATGCAAGATTTATTTCAATTCAAATGTGAAACTAAAACTTTTCCTTGCAGATTCTTCAACCGAACACTGTCAGGTAGTCCAATCTTTAAAAATATCATTTTCATTTTTTCTATTGTAGACTTTTCACACGAAGTATTTATATCAACGTAAATTTACAATAAGTATCATTGATTTCTTTCACATTGTCCAACTGAACCATTTGTAAGGTAACTTTATCTTGAAAATTATCATTTCTATTTTTCACTTGTAGATTAGTCAATTGCAATATTTACCTGAAGTTAGATTTGATTTTAGAATGGTTTTTTTTCTTTCAAATTGTTCAATTGAACAAAACATAAGGTAGTTTTATCTTCAAAAATTATGTTTTTATTTTTCTGTTGTAGATTATTCACTTGCAATATTTATTGTAGGTTGAATTTAACATTAAAAGTGTTTTTTTTTCGTTCACGTTTTTCAAGTGAACAATAAATGAGGTAATTATATCCTTAAAATTATCAATTGTATTTTTCTGTTGTAGATTATGAAATTGAAATATTTATTTCAAGTTAAATTTAACATATAAAATGGGTTTTTTCTGTAGTACTGTCCAACTAAACAATGTGCAATGTAACTTTATCTTTAAATCATGTGTTTCTTTTGTCTGTTGTAGATTATTGAGTTAAAATATTTCCTTCAAGTTACATCTCATATTAGAATGTTTTTTTCCTTTCAAATTGTTCAGCTGAATAAAATATAAGGTAATTTATCTTGAAAAATTATATTTTTGTTTTTTCTGTTGTAGATTATACAATTGCAATATTTATCTGAAACGAAATTTAACATTAAAAATGTCTCTTTTTGTTGCCGTGGTTCCAGTAAACAATATATCAGGTGCTTATATCCTTAAAATTATCATTTCTCTTTTTGTGTTGTAGATTGCTGAATTCAAATATTTATTTGAACTTAAATTTAATACTAAGAATTTTTTTCTTCAGTATTGTCTAACTGAACAATGTGGAAGGTAATTTTACCTTTAAAATTATGTTTTTCATTTTTCTGTTGTAGAGCATACTATTGCAATATTTACCTGAAGTTAGATTCGATTTTAGAATGTTTTTTTTTCTTTCAAATTGTTCAACTGAACAAAATATAAGGTAATTTTATCGTCAAAAATTATGTTTCTGTTTTTTCTTTTGTAGGTTATTTAGTTGAAATATTACCTTCAAATCAAGTTTAACATTAAAAATGTCGTTTTTTTCAGGTGATTGCAGTGAACAATATATGAAGTACCTATATCGTTAAAATTATCGTTTCTATTTTTCTATTGTAGATTATAAAATTGAAATATTTATTTCAAGTTAAATTTAACATGAAAATGTTTTTTTTTTTGCCCAAATTGTTCAAGTGAACCATATTTCAGGTAATTTTACCGTTAACATTATGCTTTTCTTTTCTCTGTTGTAGATTATTACAATGAAATATTTATTTCAGATTATATTTAATATAAAAATGTTTCTTTCTTGCAGATTCTCCAATTGAACAATGTGGAAGGTAACTTTATTTTTAAAATTATGGTTTTCTTTTTTCTGTTGTAGATTATCGAAGCGAAATATTTATATCAATGTGGATGTCGTAATTAGCTTTTGCTTTACTTTGGATTCTCCAAGTCAACAATCTGGTTATAGCATAGTTTTATTAATAGTTGGGAAGTGCAGTTGATTTGTTGAAATATTGGGTATTTATGGATTTGTGTGAAGTTGATGAAGCCAGTTTCTTCGGCTTGAGATACTTCAGTTTGGTTTTGAGTTTTTTAGTTGGTTCTGTGGGATCCCAATCTCTGCAGATGGGGCCAGGCGGCTGGAAAGAACGCGCTCGATTTGTTCCAATGCTGTTTTGAGAGAATCCAGCTAAATTGTGGTCAATATCGGATACTGTGGAAGGGCTTGTGATGAGTCTCATGCAACTATTGTGTTATAACTTTAGACACCAGTTTCTATGAAATTTGTGCTACGAAACCTCGTCTTCGAAACCTTTTTTGTGGTTTGTTGAAATTAGTTTCGTACCGAACCAGTTTTGTACGAAACTTAAAAAGGTTTAGAATTCGTTTCAAAATTCGAAACCTTTTTAAGTTCGGTACGGTACCTTTTTTTTTTCAGTGTACTGCGTGTGCTCAATTCAACGATTAAGATCGATACGACTGCACTTGATTCGACGGTACCTAGTCAATATGAACCTGATTCGACCATTGGCATTCTTGTTGATCGACTTATGGTTGAAGAGTGGACGAATCAAACGTCGCACGAGGATTATTATGCTCGATGCCAACCGACAACATGTACTTACTCGTATTTGAGCAAAAATAGTTGGATGGCCGTAATGAAGACGATTCTCGGACTTGTGGCAGGTTTGACAACTATTCTGAAAATCGCAGTTCCTCGAGTGATTAGTATGCTTTGCAGTTACTTCAAAAATCGAGTTAGACCGTTTGCAAGATGATGAAATAATTATTTATGGATTTCTATGCTCATATATTCATGTTGAATGTTGCAATCACATAATCATAACAAGAACACAGTACTACTTGTAGTCAAATTTACTGCACACCGAGTGTTAGTGCAAGGAGTGTCGGGTCCTTCTAGACCTGGGTCCGGATTCAGATTTTTCTGGATCCGCAGGTCCTCAGATGAGAAATAAAGCAAGAAGATATAACTACATGTTGAATTTTTTTCTGAGAGTAGCGAATAAATAGCTGAGTTTGATTATGGATATGGGTGTGAGGTGTGAGGTGTGAGGGTGGAGTGTGGATGGGGGTGGAGGCGGGTGCGAGTGTGTTCGTATGGGCGACAAGTGACCAACACAACCCTCTCACACAACCGAATGAACTAACCATCCTACAATCAACACTGTCGTACACATCTAGATCTAGCCCGCACCCCACGTCCCACACTCATATCCACACGCCGCACCACCCACACCGACACCCTCTCACACCCCTATCATATCAACTAATACATTGACGAACACTATATATCTACTTGTTTGATTTGTTCCCGTCAGAATATTACTTCTTAAAAGAAATTTCTTATAGTTACCAATTGTTTTATCAAAGATAAATACAATCATGTTCTATACATAGACTGCAGTGATAATAACGGGAAAACAAATCGCAAGTAATTAGACTAATTTCATTTGATTTCGACGATTTTCGTTTTTTTGTAAGGTCATAAAATGGAAAGATTGCTCAGAATCTATTGGCAACCTTTTAGAGCGAATGAACAAAAGCTCGTTGATAGATGTTTGGTTTAGATCATTTGTGACCACAGACGTCAAACAGATCAAGAAAGATTGTCATTTGTCGTAAAATACTCATATATTTCCTTCCTTATAGATTGCGATCGAAGTGCGTCGTAATTATGTCATAATTTAGGTGCAACCAAATACATAGTTATCACCAGGAATACTACCCTTAGCGTATGTTCTTAAGTACCGGTATTTTACAAATTTCTCAAATATTTTCTCTATTTTTGCTGACCCAACAATTTTCAGAAGACAATGATTGACCGCCGAATTGATTTCCATAATTTCGAGACGGATTAGAAAAATAAATATGTTTCTAGGGGTGCAGCTTCACAGAAAAAATGAAAAAACAAATTGTAAATTTGCCTTGTTCATAGAATTAATTCCAAAACTAATTTTCAGGCTGTCGATAAAGAGAAAATTTGCATCCATAGCCAACGTTCAGCAAATCAAACTAGTTAATGAAACGATATTGGTTTTCTAATACCGTTGTAATCAATAGTAGTCCTTCTCTGGAATAGATAATTTAATAGATGCGCATAAGAATGAAATTTATGAATTAACAAAAAAATGGAGACAATCATTTGAAAACAAAACAAACGAAGAATATGTTACGAAGTAACGATTCCGTTCACGTACAGTCAATATGTATATTTCATCAGTTAGAATGTCATACGAGAGTCGACTAACATTATTTATTAAAACCAGAGAGCAATCCAATCTTCCTTGTATTCTACAGTGAATGAATCGTTGGAACACAAGTGACTATGATCAATTAGCCATTGGCGTAGATTTCTACTAATTTCATCTGATAAAAAGCCGTTTATAAATAATGAGAATAGTTTTTTGTCTTTCCACATTTCAAGTATTTGTAATACAAGAGAATCAATGAGGACTTTCGAATCTTGCACTGATAAAATCAAATAGCGAAGTTTAGTGAATATACGAGCGATGACATCCAATTGAATTAAACCAATATCTGCTATGTTACGAATATGTAGACGAACGATAAGCTTCTCGAATAATTGACAAGAATATTGGTCTTTTATTATGAGATCCAAGCATTGTATATCAATGCTTAAATCATACAAGTGACGAGCTGTCTTGAACGAATAAAAGAATGGATATTTTCCAGTGACTTTAAGTCGTCTTAATCGAGGGAGATGCAATACAATCGGCTGATTTGATGGCGCCACCAAACCTAGTTGAAGAAAGCAACGAACATTAATCAATTGAACCAACGAGCATCGAAATTCGGTTCTCATATTTTTTTTAATTCAAAAGAAAATAAAATTTCAACGATTTTCTAAAGCCTCAAACTCATACTGACACAGAGTCCGCTTGTTCTTTACTACTTCGTTACACATATCTTTTTCTTTGAGAAACAAGCAGTTGGTTTTAGTATTCGAATTGCTATTCAAATAGTTCCTATCGTGAGAAGTTACGTACTTGTTTCAGTATCCCAATCCAAGTCAATATTAAGCGTCTGGAGTTGATGAAAATGTTGTACGATCATCGCTATCTCGGTAAAAGATGCTTTCCCATAAATTCTTAGATTTTTAACTTTCTGCATGTATTCCCAACCAGTTAACATTTGTTTACTTATTTTTGCTGGAATGACAATGGAACATAGATCACAAGGTATTGTATGAATAATAGCACACCGATGACATTCACTCAGCAAGCATGCTATCGGAATATGACTTGGCCATGTAATATGCCAAGTGTCTGATTTGATATCGGATTCCAAAAGGAGATAAATAATGAACAAATTTAGATTTACAAGAGATTGAGGTAGAATTGCAACAAGATTATGTCCATTGATAAGATTTTCATCTTTTGTAGATAAATCAAGTGCTAATTTTTGTAAAAATGGCATTTTAGTTAATATATCACTGATTTGTTCCAATGTCCAATAGTTATCCATTGAACGCAATTGAAAATCTTTTAGATGTATCAAAGATGATAAGCTCTTTAATTTTTCTAACAATAAATTTGATGAATAATCGCAAGTCACGTGCAGACGACTGACATTTGGTACAAGCATAAAAAGACGTATTAACGCTTCATATTTCACTAAGTTGACTGTTAATTCTTCGATATTTGGATATGAAACAGGTTGGTCATGCTGAGCTTCATTAAGAACTAAATCAATTGAATCTTGATCGAATGTGATCGATCTCAGTCGACCATCATTAGTAGCTAGAACTTTTCTCAATAATTCTTTCGGATGTTTATCTCCAAGACAACGAATATCAAGTTTGATTAATTGTGAAAAATTTTTAATTACATCAACAAATGTAAATAATTGTTCACCAGTAAAATATACAAGTATCAGTGTATGTAATTGTGGAAATATCATGGAGAGATTCGAACAAAAGAGTATCGAACGTATTTGATTCGATACAATAGATTGCCAATTGCCATGACAAACAAATGATCGAATAAATGAACCGATTTCAGGTAAAATCTTCAATGTAACAAATTGAAATTTCTCATGGTCAACACCCATAATGTTCACAGAACGACAAAAGTTGATTATGACAATATTCAGACGAGTATTCAGATTGTAAAAACAGTAGAGGACATCGGCACAACGAAGGTATTCACATATTTGCAATAAAATTTCATTTGGTAAGACTTCAAAAGTTGAAAATTCAGTCATCGTTGTGTGCTATCGAATAATTCTCAAGGATGTAATATGAAATATTTAGCTCGAAAAAATAGACTGTGATGCCAATGAAGAATACAATCAATAAAATATCATATTAATGAGACTTGTGTTGTCATGAAGAAAATATCAATTTATCGGTGCTGACGTGTTGACACAAAGCCAAGTTAAGAAAGAGAAACGGTTATGTTTGCATGTGCAACGTGACAGTTATTTTTGCACTCTTTTTTTCTTTCCATCACATCTTCTTGTTTAAACAACTTCAACGGTAAGAAGAAAAAAAAGGACGAGAGCGTCGATGTGAATGTTTTCTCTGCATCTACACCTACAGTCAAAACAATCATTTAGATAATCAACTATTAATTATTTAAATGCTTCACATTGCTCATCGAATGTTTCTTTATGCTCTTTATTGAAAATATATCAATGAATTAATAGGATGTTGGTGTGGGTTTTGGTGTTGGTCTTTAGTTTCTCCGCACATCCACACCCACCCACACCCACACCCACCCACACCCACACCCACACCCATCTTGGAGAAATGTGGGAGAAAATCAGGGATCATTTTTCGTTCGACAGATGTCTAAAAAGAGATTTATTGACTGATTTCACCGAAAAATTATGGTTTTTCACATTGTTACATTGTATGTTTTGACTGAAAAATAGATAGATGTTCGAATATGATTTTTTTGCGAGAGTAAGACTCACATACTGGAAAGAAAAACTGTTTTTGTACTACTCATTGATTAGAAATAAGATGTATTTTTGTTATGACAATTCGCAATATTAAGTTCTTAAACCTTCTCCATTGAGACGTCAAAAAAACGCTGAATTTCGTAACTGGCGATATTTCAAATTTTATATTTGATGAAGCTAGGCTCAATCATAAATGACTTGATATTCTAACAGCTTGTTAAAAACTGAACGACTTTTGCATAAAACGATTATTCATGTGTTGTTTTGTTTTGTACAAAAACGCTTAACTCTGAGCTACTCTAAAAACACAATTCCATCTTTTGAAATTCCGTAACGGTCAGTACTTGTTGAATAACATTGGTATGACTAAAGAGAGATTGATGAAATTTTCACTGACAATAGATCTAAACGATCTCTATTCGTGATAACAATTCCAGACAGTTTGCTTTTATTACTGAGAAGTTACAGATGTTACAGCATGAAAAAATGAAATTCCATAACACGTGGTCACACCCTCTTGTAAAAATCTCTCTCCCTTTCTCATTCTTTTGGATGATGAAGAAGAGTCAACTATTTTTATCTGTAGCACTACTCACAATTAAATACGAGAGTGTGAGTGTAGATGTGGGTGGGTGAGGAACTGCGTGTGGATGTAAGTGTGGACATAGGTTAAGAGAAGACTAAAGCATCTATACATGCCATCCACACCCTCGATAAAACATTTAATGGAAATCCATGTGCCCTGCAAAAACTGTTCATTAGTCGATTGTAGCTTTAGAGGAAAATCGACTTTATTGATAACAAATAAAGTTTTTCATTTATCCAGGACAAAGTGTATTTGAATAATTCAGTTCGACCAAGATCGTTATGAAGTTCATGATAAAAATCTTCCCATTCTTTAAACGTTATCTGTCCTGTGGATTTTCTTACCCATTGACGAATTTTTTCCATCGGTATCACTGATTTTGACCCGTGCTGTATCAAGGTCGGTATTGAGAAATGATAAATGTTTTTTTCTACGTCAAGACTTAATTCACAAAAGATAGAAGTTGTCCTTCCTGGCCAACGATCATGGACAAATTGATCTCTCTTACGAGCATCTATAGCTTCTTGATTATTTGTGTATATATATTGATCTCCAGCAACAGGTGAACGAGTATGAGGTGTTAGAAAACTAAATGACCTTATAATTGCCAAATGAATACGATTTTGTTTGTTCGGAAAGCAAATTGACGGTGTACATGCAATCAAAGCTTGATAGGGTAATGGATCCACATAACGTCGATGTTTGTAAATAATTAGGAGAGCAGCGCCTATGCCATCACCATACACAACAAGAGGAACACTTGTAGAATAAAATTCATGAACTTTTTCAATTCCACTCGTTATATCGTCAAAATAAGCTCTAGCATTGGGTGTATAACCGCGTTCACCACTTGAATGACCGTTACCCCATAGATCGATGCCGACAACACCTACATTGTGTTCATTAAAAAAAACCTGGTATATAATGATATCGTTCACAATGATCACCAAAACCGGGTACAATCAATATAACAGCTTTTGGATTAGACACTGACCAATTTTTACCGTACAATTTTGTCTTATCATAACGTGAGAAAAATGAAAATTCCGTCATCATATGATTCTTCGCTGAAAAGTAAATTCTGTAACAAAGTGACATTTTGTTTTGACTACAACTGGTCGCAAATGATGCCGTATGTGAAAGCAGCGGAAAACTCATTTATTTAACGGTCAATGTTCTCTACTTTGAGGGTGTATGGGTGTGCGTGAATGTGTAGATGTGGGTATGGGTGTGGATGTAAGTGTGAGTATGTGGTTTCGATGCTGGCTTGACTGTTTGGAAAGGCATATCCACATCCACATCCGAATCCACACTCATATCACCACTATTGATAAAATATTAGTCAAAAACTGATGAGTTTATCTGCATAAACGATGTTGCTTCGACCCCGACCATGTATTCAAGCTTTTTCTAGAGCAAATTATAGGTATTCTGGTAACCCATCATTTCTTATACACAGGTACTCAAATTTTAGTCACTAGAATTTTTTTTTCTAAGGTATTAAGCTCTTAAGGTCGATCTCTCGTCGATGGTGTGGGTGCGGGTGCTGGTGCAGCTATGAGTGTTGCTGTGGGTGTGACCGGGTGGGCGAGGATAGGCACCTGGATACGTGTGCGTGAATCTTCTCGTCAGTCTTTCGAACCACATCGGCATTCCAGCATGCTCATTCATTCGTAGACTGATCCATTTCCGCAGCCATCAAATGTGAAGATGGCAGGCTCATGAAAGTTATGTTATGTCTCGAAAAACAGAAATGGGAAAATCCATGGGAAAAATACTACTTTTCTGACAAGTTTTTTCCGACCTTTTAGACTAATTGGGTAGGTTGAAAATGACAAGCGAACATCTGTAATCGGAAAAAGATGGCGACTTGAGCATGGAATCATGAGACATATAGAACATTATTGAGCAATATGTCCGTGTTCTCATGGGTCCTAACCTATAAAATCAAAAAGATCACCGAACATTTTTGGCATACTCTAAAATACCAAATTTTCTTTGAAATTAGCCCTTTTTTAAACTGGTTACTTTCATTATTGGTGTGCATTTCGATAATTTACTTTGATACATTTCAGCAATCAAATGTTTTACCACAAACAAACAACATCAATTGCTCGAAACCCTTTCTTCAAAACACGATCAACATCACGATGAGATTTTGAAATTGCTTGTCATTTTACTTTTATGTATCTCTTAAATGCTTTTGAGCATGGACATGATCTTAAAGACGTTCTAGTCGATTTGCTTTATGTTTCTTTTGTCTGAGCAACATAATCAACTACTTTTTATTTTAAGATGTTAATAAACTCGTTTTTTTAAGTTGAATGAGTGATGTCACGCATGCATTGATCTCATTTGAATCATGAAATATTCGTTGCGGTGCAGCATCACATAAACGAAGATGTAACAATGATTTTCTGTGACTTTTTCATTTTTGGATTATTATCAGCATGATTTGTAATAATAAAGTTACTTCCTGTTCTAGAAGACATACATTCATCAAGTAAAACATCACTAGAATTTGTTGATAGATTGACATTTGATTTTTTTTATCCAAAGTAATAAGGTATTCTTCGATAAATTAATCTTTTTTATTTTTTAGAATATTTTTCAAGTTTTTTGCTGAATCAGTGCGTTGTTTTTTCTAGTTTGTTGCCACTCAGCCTTCAGAAATGTACATGAATCGTAAGAGGAAGTCAGACAAATATACTTTAACAAAAACATTTTAGATTTCTTACTTCATTCTCCAACGAAAATTCATAATTTGATAATTTATTAGAAGACCTTTTTCATCAGATACAATATTGCATATTTGGTATTCTTTGCTTGTTTTATTTCGGTTAGTTTTATCTATTTACTATCATTGTTTTATCAGCGCCATCGTCAGTGTGTCTTAAGCCTTTAATGATAACTCCTGATACAACTTCATAAATTTTCCGGCAACTCGTTATACAGAGAGTTTTACTCTGATCATTTTGGTAAAAAGGATTTCTCGTTTGCATTGCAAAACCAGTGTGCTATGACTGAAGTACTAAAAAATACAGAAATTAGGACAGTATTTTTAAGATTGCTTAGTGATCTTCCCCAATTCAATGTTTTTCAACATTTGGTACCTAGCATTGACATTTTCAAATAAAAAAAAAACAAGTTATCTGCGAAAATGCTTACCCCGAGTCACTCTAAAAAATGAGTTATGTTAAAAAAAATTTCGAAGGTCTGTTCGCTTTTATGGCTAAAAATCCATGACAATACTGAGATGTTCCTCAAGGATGTTCTAGGTCTCTAACAATTTCATACTCACGTCCTGATCATTTCTGGTCATATATTTACTGGTCATTTGAAACATAGCTAGAACGAAGAACATCGAAAATATTTTTCAATAAATGGTATTTTTCCCAAGGATATATAGACATCAGACTATTAGTGCTCAGAATTTCTGTGAAAGAAAGCAGAAAAAAAAATGGTTTGGAAAATAAATACTCAACAAGCTGCCGATAAATGTTGCTATCACTTTGTTTTTGGTAGTTATGACGAAATTTGAAAAAATAATGAAACAGATCATAAAAAGAAGAAAGGAGCAAGCCAATTTTATCTATTTGCTTCGTTGATGCTGCATAGCACAGCCCGAAAAAAAGACAGTAAAAAACATTCATCGAAAAGCGAAATAAACATTCATGAAGAAAAGAAGGCACTTGAGACTGGTAATGTCTCCGAAAAGAGAAACTATGTATGCAGTACTTCCAGTTTATGCGCAAGCTTCCACAAAAAAAATATCATGTAAAATAAAACATGAATCCACTAAACGTAAGCGTTTAGTTTCAACATTTTACAACTACCGTGGCTATTATCGATCATTTTATCACCTTAGTTTTACGCAGCTTCATTTAAAAAGTCGTTGTTCTGTTCTTTTATCGTGAAAGCAATAATGTTTGAATAGAGCTAGATAATCACCTTATCTATGATACATGTTAAAAAAGCACTTGGAAAAAACCGAGCCAAACAATTTCCAATTGCGCTATTTTTCTGTTTTACCAACTCACAATCCTCGCAGCTATAACGAAAAGTATTGCATCTACTTTGCAATTTTAGTCGCAGTAGAAAGCCTGCATAAGAGCACTCAACATTTGATGTTGGGTATGTGGTTAGGGCTAGGATGTGTGGGCGAGATAGCGAGTTCAAGTTTGTACGCATGAGTCTTCATATGACCGACACCAACCCTCCCATGTCCGTGTCACCGGTCCACAAGTAACACATTTACCTACACGCAACCTATCCAGTCACCTATACTTACATTCAATCAACTCGCAAACAACTACCGTCCAAGGGGGAAACGATGTACTCCTGTGCTCCCATACTCCGCAGAGTCCATGCATTCCCACTAGACTTCATGAACTCTGTGGACTCCTGGAGTACAGGAAGTACAAAGAAAGATAAGATACTCTCGTACTCTCTAGACTCCCACTCTACTTTCGGAGTCCACGAAGTACCATGGAAGTACAGGAAGTCCAAGAAGTACTGAAGTACTGGACTGTGTACTCCACTAGACTGTGTGTACTTCATTGCACTTTGTGTGCTCGACTGGACTCCGTGTACTCTGAGAGTACTAGAGTACGTCGTTTCTCCTTTGCCCACCGTCCCATTCACAACCAGCTTTCTCAATCACACACCCACATTCGCACTCATAAATCACGGTCTGCAGCGGCATCTCAATTAACACCGCCGTCAACCACGTTTTTACTCAGAAAATATTTCACAAGTGGTTCGAGTTCTGAAACGTGCGAAGTGCTGCAATAGCCAAATATAGTGAGTGTTCTTTTATACCGTAAAGTCTCCATCTGTCAACAAGCTTGAATGAATTCGGACATTCAAAATTTCTCGTAAAAGAGAAAAATTAATGTTACTATGATAAGCTAGGTTCAGATCCCTTTTGAAAAGTTCTCGTATAATTAGGTCGAAGTGGAAGTTAACTAGAGATTGCACCTCTTTTTGAAAATAAGGAGACAGTGCAAGAGTTGCTTTAGGACAGGGAAGTAGGATCCAATTTCTACTAACTTACGAAATGTTTTCCTACTGTTCTTGAAATACTTGGCATAGATTGAAGGACGTGTGGGTGTAAGATGTGGGTGCGTGGAGTGGGTGTGGGCGTGTGTACAGGTCTTCTATTAATCATCAACTACGTCCATACCCACACCCCACCCAAACCCGCACCAAATTGTTGTATATCGACGTTCTGCCTACAATTTCGCTCGTTTACATCAAGCTATAAAATAAAATAGACGCTTGATACCATTTGCTTAGATTGGCAAAATAATTCGTTTTTCTGGTATAGCTTCGTTGTATTTTAAGATAAACTGTTCTGCTTACCTATTATGGGACAGCGTTCTAGTAAATGTCCAGCTGATGAAAGGATTCGTCGAAAGCGCCAACAAGCTATTTTTAAAAAGAATATTCCATCTGTAGCAAGCGACTTTTATTTTGCATGTCGTAATGACAATATTGATTATGTAAGAGAGCATATAAAAGACATGTCAATCGAAGAAATCAACAAATTGGAACCAAATGGCAGTACGGCACTTCATGCTGCAACATTTTATGACAACAAAGAAATTGTTCAACTATTGATTAGTGCAAAATGTTCTAGAACAAAACTGAATCGTTGCGGTAAAATGCCACACGAAGAAATTCAAACTGCAGAAATGAGAAAATTGTATGAGCGTCCAACATTAACGCGTTTCCATGAATCTGATCCAAGCACATCTTTGGCAACTTATGTACCAGACGACCAAGGACAGCAACAACAGACAAAGTTAGACTGGATTAAAGTATTTGAAAACGAGAATGAACTAATGGAATATTTAACAAATCAACAAACAACTGTTATGTGGTTAAAATTTTTCAATTGGGTATCGCATACATTCAGTCGATTTTTAGATAGAAATGATTACAATGCCAATTTATTCGATTTGAATAATGATAGAGATTTTGATGATTTTCTCAAACGTACAATACCGAACGATGATGAATATAAACAAGCAAGAGAAGCACTAATTGAGGCTGAACAAGATGAAAGTATAATTCCATTGATTGAGCTGTACACAAGTGAATTTGAACATGGTGGAATTCCATTTTATCAGGTATTGAATAAACAATTAGCTCTATCATCGGAAAATGATATTAATACAGCTCATTTTTGCGATCGTTTTGTTCTTGATTTCGATATGAAAAGTCAGGAACTTGAAAAACGAGCTTACATTGGAGTGACATATCGTGGTGTAACAATGAATGATGCTGATATTGAAAAATATGAACAACTTTCATTTTATGGAAGAAAACACGGAATAATCGCCACAAAAACATTTCAATCAACATCGAAAAATAAACAAGTGGCTTTGAGATTCGCAGCACAGAGTTCCGATGATTTCAAACGTGTTTTATTTGTATTCAAAATATTGAACCCATGCCCAACTATATTTTCCGTTTATGATGTATCTAAATACCCTGAAGAAGAAGAAGTATTGATAATGCCGGGAAATTTATTTAAAGTTACTGAAGTAGTTAAAAATTCCCATTTAACAGAAATACATCTTGAACATATGAAAGTAACAATATCATTTTTCACAAAAATTGTTCAAACTATAAAAGCTGTTCGATACAGAAGCAATGTTGAATAAAACCACGATACAAATATCAGATGGACTGAGCTATAATCATGAAGCTTGTGAAAAATATATCTATTTTGTCAAGAATTCAACGCTGAAACAAGCAATTCCTAACTCAAATACATATATCTTTGTTGTTTTCTTTATACATATTTAATTCTTCTGCTTGAAAATGTCAATCGTATATCAAAACTCAATATACAGGGTATTTCGTGGAGGGTGTGGGTGGTTGGGGTGTTGGTATGAGTGCGGGTGATAGTGTGCTCTATTTCTTGATCCACTCTCGCACCCTGTTTTGAACACTGCTCGTAAACGATAATAGGTAGAAAGCTGATTTTGGAAGCTGAGATAGGAGGGTTGTTCAATATCTAAAAAATAGGACTTTCTTCTCAATTTTCCCACAGTTTCACGATTGCGAAAATCAGAGACATACATTATCCACAATACTTCTCGACCTCACTTGCATATCAGTGAAGAAATGTGTGAAGGTGAATATGTAGATGCGAACACTATTACAGAAAATACATCACTTTGCCTATCACCAATGATGGAACTGTGAGAGAACTGATGGTCAATTCTCGATTTCCCGAGGAATTATCACAGTTCGGTTGATAGTTCCTCGACAATTTAGGAATTTCTATTTCTCAGTTCTTGGACACTGTTGAGCCTATGTGGCAGCCGATGTGATCTTACCAACGAGCATATCTGTGGAAAAAATCTTCGTAAACAATGTTCAAAATCTAGAGCCAGCAGTAACACGGCAATCCACATGCAATATGTCACACATCTTGACGGTGTCACTCTATACCTTATTGACTCGAAAGTGAAAGATAAATGGAGCGGTCAAATTTTCAAAGCTGGACCAACCATTTCGAGTTTATGGAGCGAGTATTAGTTTCTGTTTTGCAAAAAAATGTTCATTCCAATATTAAGAATAGTGTTGTCGATAAAATTATCAGTGAAAATGGCATCACTTATATCTGGACTATTGATAAGAAATATTTCATGCGTGATTACAACATTATCAAAAGAATCAGTTGATCGCTTTGCTGATTCAATAATGTCAAACATTTTTGGTATATTACCTGATACTGTTTATAAAATGTGTGAACTTGTTGTCAAAACAATGCGTCGTAATGGTATATCATGACATGATCATTTTCTTGAAATAATAGCAAATGATATATAAAAACAAGTTATCTATCATTAATTGATTTATTAGATAAAAATATTTTAAATGAGCAAGATCAGCAATCCACAAGAATATTTTTTTTTATTAAATGATACACAAAATTCTCTTTTATGTAGTTGAACATTATTAATGTCATTATTATTTGAAGAAAATGCTTTAGAAAAAGTATGTAGCTGTATTTTGGTACGAAGTAGCAAAAAATATTTTGACTGCAACTTTTTTTATTGCAGTAGTCTCAGGCGTTAATTGTTTCATAATTGACATCAGAGCATTTGACTTGACAAACTCATATAGTTTTCGCTGAAATTCTAGAAACGTACTAAAGACATTCCCTTGCAAAATAAGATTACTGAATTACGCATATAAACATATTATACCATGTATGCATATGAAAACATTTCTTCATCGTTATGGTGTTTAAAGTTACAGACCATGATGGTGTTTAGTGTCTTATCTCCATCACTTATCATTTAAGAGGTGAAAGCAGTTCAATAAACATAATCATTAGTCTATACTTTTCTGACTGAGGTTAGGTTGTTCTTATTTTGAGATAAGTATCGAACTTTCGAAACTACTGTAGAAACATCATACACTGATAATGGTAGCTGAAAGAGAAAGTGACTTCTGTAGATGAGCAGTCGATACTGTTCAAGTTTTTGTGAATCGATTTGAAGCGACTATTTTTCTCTGAATTAGTACTAAGTTCCTCAAATTTTGAAAAGAAAATTGATTGTTAAGTCTCGGATGTCATTCTCTGATTCGTCACATAATTTATCATTTTAGTTTTTTATTAGTTAAAGATAATTTTCTCATAAATGAAAATGATTGAACAATTCAAAGAAAAAGTTCATATTCAAAAGGACATGCATCACATAATGACATTTTATGAACACATTTAAATAATCCACCTGGAAAATTATTTGTAATACCTTCGTAATGCCGCATTATATATAGATGTGAATATATATGACATTGACTTTGTCTTTCATTTGAAAAATAATCATCAGAAGAAATAATTTCATTATCTTGAAAATCTTTGAATGTTTGTTGAATATCTTCATTTGAGGGCAAATAAATTTGTTTCTTCAGAAAAATAATTGAACGCACCTTAATTATAAACTTCTTTAATCGTGGCATGTGATTGATAATATTCTTCTTCAAATTATTCCCATCAATAAATACTTTACTAAAATGGACTTTAAGATATATATCATGCTTTTCTAAATTCAACATTCGATGTAGACGTGGTACGATTAATTCATAGTAAAAAGAGATGGGTGTGGGTATGTACGACACTTTTATCTCCACACCCACCCCACATCCCTGGTAGTCATCTCGAAAACGAAATTTTAGTTCATATGCCGTGACTTCAAATACTCACCTTCAATATTATAACGTTCATTGAATCTAGGAATAACGCAATGAGTATACAGTCAAATAATGATATTCATCGTACGTTTCTCAATTGGCGATATGGTCGAGTCGATAGTTATATACGTAGATGGTAATCAAAATGAAAAGGCTCGATCACATATTTATTCACTTCCGTACGGGGTATTAGTGTGGGTGTGCCTTTGAGTGCGGATTTCTTTTCTAATGATCACCCACACTCAATCTCCTTTTTTCCATGTAGAAATGAGCAAAACATCGGAATTCAGACGCAAATAAACGGTTCAATAGACTTCGTACCTCGTAGTTATTGATATTATGGTTTTATCTTGGAGAATTCAGATTTGATCTTGTTTGTTGTAACTTACGTCAATGCATGAGTTTATATTCAAAAGATGTCGCTACTTTTCAATATCATCGCAGAAATATTTGAAAAAGATTGATTTGATTGGAAATATTTCCTGTCCATTCCAATCTAATGTCAATCTCTATTCGATTCATTCATTTGCAGTTTGGTGAATTTTCGATTAGAAATATTCTTGACAATGGCGTTAAAAATCATCTATTGAACCATTTTGTTAATATTTATTCTCCGTAGTTTCTTACTTGCTCCAAAGGATAATTTTTCGATTAAATCTAATGGTCTCTGTGTTAAACAATTAATCGTCGGACCATACAATGATATTGAACATATATTAATTGTCTTTTCTCGGTAAAGTTTTCGTTGATCTAACAACAACAGAATCAGTATAAATTTTTGTTCACAATTATTTTTCTCATATTGATTTGTTTCTATTTTAGGCATCCGGCCAATGATTTATCTGACCATGCCTATTGGTTGATGATCAATATCAAAGATTGAATGAAGCATTACCTGCATTATCATTCAATGTTCTTGATGCTTTGATTATTTTACTCTACGTCGAAGTGAAAAGACCAAAGAATTCCAATTAAATGTTTTTATTCGTATCTTTGAATTGAAAATAACATCAGTTCTCCTGATAATCACCACCATTGCTCTAATTTTTTTGCATGGGTTTCTGGTGATTCTCGTGTCTTTATTCTCGAATTGGTTTATTCATTCAATGACGATCGATTTCTTGACTCTTTCATTTTTATTTCCATTTTTGATTCAAGATGATCTCAACTGAAGACAAATGTTTGACAATAAGCAATGCACATTTTATTTTCGTCTTTGTTTTATTCCATTAATTCGACCATTGATTTATTTTTATCGATATTAACTATTATAGCAAGTCACATATTGATCATATTATTGAATAGAACAAATTTCATTCAAGCTTCTTTTTTCGAGTATCTCTAAAACCCATTGATCTAAAATGTTTTTGATCAAATGAGGAAAATTAGAAAAAGAAAGGAATTTTTGTTCAAAGTAAGATGATGACATTGTGGTATATTTCTATTATTGTTATTATATAATGATGGATTATGTGATATAGTGAAAATCGTCATTGGAATTTTTCCGATTCCTGCTTCACGTGTAAAGGAAGTTCTTATATTGTTGTATTTTTGCCTTTGACTTACTTGGTTATTTCCTTTCTTCTGTTTGATATTCTCTAACGTCACTACATATTCAGACTGGGTGTCCCAAAATCTTTATCTTTTTTTTCAAAAGATGCACCGTCGAATTCTCTACAAACTATCTATCAAACTTAATTTAAAACAATACAATTGAACATTTTCCTATGTGACATATAGTGATACATCTACTTCCCACATTCTTCTGTAATACTTTTCTCGGTTATTTTTTTCATGGTACCAACACGTTCCTTAAAGATTGAACTTGTATATTTTGATTGAATATAAAAGGGTTCTTTCAGAATTTTTTGTAAGCACTTAATCACAGCCCATGTTATCGAACTGGAATGATCTTCCCAAGCTTCTATCGCGAAAATCGGCTTTTAGATAGTATCCAAGTTCTTATTCTAGCTGAATCATTCAATACCAAGTGTTATACAAGTAGACAGGCAAATTCGACTTCTAAAAGTACTATAACAATGAAGTAATTTTGGTCATAGCTAAGATACCTTTTTTGAAGAGAAATAACTAAAGAGAAACTACCAGTAGTTCTTAAAAAATAACATTGTGCAAAATTCTATCTAAGTAGAACAATAAGCATTAGAAAATTCCGTACATATGCACAATGACTAGAGACTTTTGAGAAATATTTATTCGTATGAAAAAAATTAAACAGTAGAAACCATACGTGGGAAGTAGATCTACTAGTTTATATAATCACTATATGTCACATAGGAAAATGTTCATTCGTATTGTTTTAAATTGAGCTTGATAGATGGTTTGTAGAGAATTCGACAGTGCATCTTTTGAAAAAAAAGATACAGATTTCATCATTTATCCATGATGAGATATAAGTGAAATAAAAAGTGTGCAAATATTTTGGGACACCCGGTATATAGTCATCGTTTCTTTGTATCTTTCCCTTTGAATCACAAGACGTGGCAGATTATTTAATATACAATATAGGTCGTCCCAAACTGTTAACACTAGATTATTCTCATCGATTATTTTATCATGGATTGATGATTTATCGAAAACATTTATTTAGATATAATAAAATAAAATTGAACTAGAATTGAAAAACAAATTATCAACGATTTTCTGCTCTTTTGTAAATTTCTTATGTTCGAATCTGATATTGAGAAAAAACAAAGAAAATTTTCTATCACTTTTTTCTTCTTTCTCATACAGTTTGAAACTATTATCTTGAAGTTATTCTTCCAATTCGATTCTCAACTTCTTTGTGCATCGAAGAAAGAGTTCGAACTGATTTATGTTTTCTTTCAGTAGTGAAAATCTTCTTCTATCAGTCTCTATAGAATTAACAAGAATGTTCTTTTCAGATAAGCAACGCAATTCGTAAAAAAATACACATCGCCATGCTTCTGGTATGCAAAGAACACAAGAACAATGTTGCTTGATTCCATCATCACGACGGCTTTTTCTTCTCGTTACCGATTCGACATTTTTTTCTTCAAGATATAAACATATTTCTGTCTCAATCCGATTTTGATTAACAAAAAAAATCAAGACAATAAAATATAATTCAACTGAGATCTTCCAACCGAATATTAATAGGTAAATATACTTGAATAAAGAAGAAAAATTCATTTCTAGAAAGATCAACGTCATTTTCCGTTGTTCACACATGCTAAAGATTATTTTGCCACTGTTTAGAATATATCATCTTGATTCAAAGATGCTCATGCAGGGGGCGAGTTTGGACCTGATAGATTTGACACTAACACCTAAAGATAATTCTGATATTCAATAGCTTCATTTTCAAGATTAGTACATTTTTTAATCGCTTGTATCTTGACCGAGATCTTATTTATCATACATCTAATGCACATCGAATCTTTTTCACTACAATCTAATGATCTTGATTGAGCAAATCCTTCGAATAAAGTCAATTATTGTCTTTCGGTTAACCTTGAGTATGAAATATAGATTCGATTGTCTTCTGTGATATATATGTTTATTGAACATGATCATTTTCTTCTTAGAACTATCAATGACACGAAGTTTGTCAGAATTCGCACCATTTAATGAGATTCTTGGTACAGCTTCAACAAATGTTCCAGCTTATTCAAATCATAGTGATGAATTCTTTTCTATCGAAAGAAATTTTCTTCATGGAATATTTACAGGAATCAAATGGCAATGTGTAGAATATGCTCGTCGATGGTTATTATTACGAAAAGGTTGTGTTTTCAAAAATGTCCCGTGTGCTGCAGATATTTGGTCTCAAGTCAATACTATTGAACGTGTTACTGATGCAAAACATTTTTCGTTAAAATGTCATCCAAATGGATCTTCTGAACCTCCAACGATAGATTCACTTCTCATCTATTCTCGTAGTGAAGAACAACCTGTTGGACATATTGCTATTATTTGTGGAGTTGGACCCAATTATGTTCGTATTGCTGAACAAAATAATAAATTTCATTTTTGGGATAATGATTATGCTCGAGAAATTCCCTTAGAATATAAAGATGGTCTTTATTATATTGAAGATGAAGATCCCATTTCTGGTTGGATAGAAATTGAGGATCATCATCAGTTGGAACCATTTCATGAATCACATATCTCTAGTATTCTTCAACAATATCAACAAGCTCAATCTGTAGGTCAATTAGAACGCTCTTTCATTAAATATCAATTAGATCAATCAAAAATACCCTGGTTAAATAAAGATGATCCAGTTGAAAAGTTCTTTATGGAACTTTACGGCGAAGATATTCGACGAATTAATCATTCAAATGAACATCTTTCCTATTATAAGATTAATCAAGATTTAATATTTAGTGTCGCCAATGTCACTAATGAATTACACCGAATGTTTATTCGAGCAACTCACTATGTTATTCAAGATAATGAACTTCTAGAAAGTTTTTCTATTCCAAAAATCTTTTGGAATCGTATTCGTCAATCATGGATCAATGAACAAAATTTTTCTGCACTTAGTCGGTTGAATATTGCATTTGATGGTCAACAATTTAAAGCTTTGGAATATCATGCTGATAGCGAATCAGCACTTTTTGAATGTGCTATTCTACACGGAAAATGGGCTGAACATGTTCATTTACCATCGACTTTCATGTCAGCATTTCGTTTACATCGTATTTTGGTTAATAAATGGAAACGAATGAATATCAACACATTAATTCATGTTTTAATCGATAACGATCATGATCAACATTTAACTGCTCTTTATATGCAAAATGTATTTCGAGAAGCTGGCATTGAATCGAAGTTATGTATGATGACTGAACAATTCGTTTGGAAAGATTCAATTATAGTCGATAGTGATGGTATCCAAGTGAAATTAGTTTGGAAACTAGCGAGATGGGAAAATGTTTTTCAAGATTATCTCCAAATGATCAAAGAACGTGGATTTGAAAATAATAATTCGGAGCAACTCTTTCATCAATGGAAACCAATGGTTAATGAACATCCAAGATTAAGTGAAATTTTATTGAATGATCAAATTAGAGTTATTGAACCGTTATGGACAGTCATTCTAAGTAGTCGAGCTATTTTACCTGTTCTATGGACATTATATCCAAATCATCCACTCTTATTACGTACTCAATGGCATTTAACCGATGATCTCAAACAAAAATCGTTTGTTAAAAAACCAATTGTTGGTCGCTGTGACCACAATATGATATTATCGAATAATAATGTTGATTCAGTTAAGAGTGATAATGAAATTAAAATTTCTGATCAAAGTTTTATTTATCAAGAAATGTTTCAATCAAAAACCTACGATGGATATTATCCGATTATTGCAAGTTGGATTATCCATGATCATTTTGCTGGTTTCGGTATTTGTGAAGATCAACAATTTGATACTAATGCAAATAATGCAACAATACCTTGTTGTATCATTTGGAGTGATCAAGATGATTAGGATTTCTCTTTGTTTCATTTGCTCTATTAAGATTTTCCCTAAATAAACTCATTTTGTCAAGAAGAAGATGAACAGTATACTGCTCTATTAGAAATCTTTATCTTTCAAATAGAATCAAATAAACGTCCAAAGCGTCGAATTTAATTTTTCTCTGTAAAGGAACAATCGAATTCAACGATCAGAATCGTTTCATTACTTTGAATCATGTGATGAATTTTGGAATAGCAGCTATTTTTTCTTTTATTCAAATGATATCTCATTATGCGTGTGGGTGTGGGGCTTGACTCTGATTCTAATTGAACTTCCCCTCGGACAAAAAAACTACCTTTTTCTATTTCATTTTCGCATCACTTAATCTGTTGTTTTAAAAAAACAAAATATACCACAAGATGCAGCGTGAAAAGAACTATAATTTACAAAGTAAACCTTATTTTCATTTTGTGCTTTTTGTTTTAAAAAAAGGCAAAATTCTGTGCGACCAATTTTCGACGATGCAAAAAAATCATCTTTGTCTATGCGAACAAGAAATTTCTTATTTCATCTATTTACATCGGCGGGCCAGGGTAATTATTAAAATGTCCTTATCAGCTCTAGGAAAAAAAATGAACAAATCGCATCTATGAGAATAAAAATTCTGGGTGGGGCAACTGCCCCATCTTGCCCCCATGGTGGCCCGCCGATGTCTATTTATCAACTAATATGTTTTGGTAAAAAGAAATAAAATATACCACAAGATGCAGCGTGCAAAGTTCTACAATTTACATAGAATAGTTGATTGAAATAAGAAGAAAGGAATTTCTCATTGGTGTAGAAAAATGATCCTCTCGCAGCATCGAAAATTGATCGCACAGAATTTTGCTTTTTTTTTAAAACAAAAGTACACAATTAAAATAAGCTCTACTTTGTAGATTGTAGAGCTTTTCACGCTGCATCTTGTGATATATATTTTCTTTTACAAAAACATATTAGTTGATAAATAGATGAAATAAGAAAAAATGATTTTTTCGCAGCGTCGAAAATTGGTGGCACATAATTTTGCCTTTTTTGAAAGCAAAAAATACAAAATTAAAATAAGGTTTACTTTGTAAATTGTAGTTCTTTTCACGCTGTATCTTGTGGTATATTTTGTTTTTTTAAAACAACGGATTAAGTGTTGCGAAAATGAAACAGAAAAAGGTAGTTTTTTTTGTTCGAAGGGAACTGAAGATCCACAGTCACACCCGACACCCACTCTCATCGACATTTGATTCACTATAATTACGAAAGATTGATATCTTATGGATATATTTGTGTATTCATTGGAACTACCAATAGAATAGAATATTGTTTTTTTTTTTTTTTATTAGACTAATGCATAACGATATGTACGTATTGTCATAATTACAATGATTCATGGGAGGCGAATTCGAATTTTTTTTAATGAATCGTATTGAGAGAACAAGTCTGTAGAAATTCATTGGGCAAAGTTTCGCGTTCGAAGAATCGATCATCATAAAAGTTGATGATGAAAAATAAGTTCGAGGAGATAGTAAAAATATTTCATTGAATTTGAAAAATTTCGAAAAACGCCAACAAACAGTATTTAACTGAAAAAATATTACACTTTAAATATGCTAATAGTTTCTTTGGAAGTGATCGTAAGTTGAAATCCGTCACACAAGAAAGTCAATTAACTGATAAAATAGAAACACATAGGTGGTATTGGCGATTTAATCTTCATTTGGTTGTTCAAATAATTGAGAATTCATTGCATCTTCTGTAAATTATAATCTATGAGTATTTTGCATCATATATTGTAACGAATTTAGCAAAAATCGATTATATAGAATCCAACCTATATAATTTGGTTTTTGATTAAATAAGGTTAGTCAAATCTTGTTATAGAGAAATATATAAGTTTATATTTTCTACAAGAAATTCAACAGAAAATCTTTATTTTTTTGACGAAATTTCTTTTCATTCAATATGTTCGTTCGTCAATATAACAATCAAATTCGTCAATCTATTTATTCAAATAAAAATTCCAATTTTTAATTATCGGAAAATAACGAAAGATAATTATGATATAATGGTTGAATTAATCGTTGAAGCGAAATTATTCAATATTTTATTAGTATTTTAGCAGATAATTTTACATTAAATAAAATTTTCGAAAATTATCAATCGCCAAATAACGGCGTCGTTTGGATAAATTTGAGTGATCTGAGAGAAAATAATTTATTTCAATCTACTTTTAACAAGCTAAAGGCATACTAATGTTCATAATTGTTTTCATTTAGTTTTCTTAGACGTTTATCTTGTTTAGATACTTCTAGCTCCCAGAGATCCTTTAATTGCTTTACTCTTCTAGCTGCTCTTCGTTCGTTCAGCCCTTTTACTGTATATACCACGCTTTCAACTTTGTTTTCTTTTTGTTGCGACAGTCAACATGTATAGTTCACAAAAGAATAAAGAAATCGAGCATTCACTTGGAAAATACGAACTTTGCATTTTTTTCATAGTTGTTATGCTTGTATGGAGGATCTTAGAAGATTAAATTGAAATTCAAAGTATCATTTGTTCTCAGGAGGAAGATCGAAATTTTGTTACTTGTTTCTATTTCATCTATTGAATAGTAGACAGTGAGTATTAAATCCTCGAAAGTATCCATTCATCTACAAAACCATTAAATACGTATATATTTATTCGATAATACGCTCTACTATCGTTTTTCTTCAAGACAACATACAGGATCGAATGGATGTGAAAATTTGTTTCATTTCTGTTGCTCATTAGAACTTAGTAGATTAGCTAATGATTTTTCCCAATAAGTTATACAACGGGCGGACATTCTAGAATATCGAATAGATAGAAAATACAAAACAACAAAGAAAATCACGCTTTTCGTTGGATAAAATAAAAATTTTATCTTTATGTTCAAGTTCATCATTATCTGTTCTTTCTACATTTTTTTATCGATTTTTTTTCTTTCGATTCTGTTTCCGTCGACGTTTTTGTTTTCGGTATGTCTTCGTCGACATACCTTTTTCGGCACTCTTTCCTTCTACAGTTTTTCTTTCGACGTTTTCAATTCATACCAAAGGATCTAGTCGATAACGAAAAAAATTAAAAGGAAAAACGTCAAACTAGTCGAGGATTATTGTACCTTTAATTTGTCGAAACTAAAACGCGATAACTTGTTTTTCTCGAATTGACGGAAAATGTCGATTAGTTAAAGTATCGAAAAAAAAAGTAGAAGAGAACGCAGATGATGAAAAATAACGATTCGATGGGTCACTTTTATGACTTTGTTTACGAAAGATTGCAATATTATTTCTTAGTGCACTGATAAATGATTCACAGTGGCGAATTATAGGATAAAATAAACGAAAAGAAATATTTCTAGGGTGACTAAATTGGTTAGAGATTAACTTAGTACGATACTATCGCTTTTTCTATCGAAAGTCGTATAGACGTTTGAGCTAAAATACAGATCATTGTCATTTTCAATGCTCGTCAAATCTTACCCGAACCTAAATCCAGATGGTAGATCAGTTTAATCACACTCTCGTCCTCATCCACATGCTGGTTCATATACAGAATACTTCATTTAAATATAATGGTGTGCTTAGCCCTCAGTTTCATCTTCAATTCAAATAAGAAAATTTTACTGAAAGTGTTGTGAGGGCATATCTTGTCTCCAAAAGGGTGTGTACGACACTGTTCTATCTCCATACCCACACCCTAGGTGATGCTTATAAAATCCTACGTAATACTGACAGCATTCTAGAGAATCTTGTAGTATGCCAGGTGATGCTAGTAGCATTCCAGGCGTTGACTAATTGAAAATTGGAATAGTTGAATACTTGAATCCAACTTTTAAGTTTGCACTACTGTTATTTTTCGAGTTAATTGTATCCGATCACATATTTTCTTTTGAAAAGGGACAAAAAAATATTTTAGAAAAAGTTATTATTATTTATTACTTTACTTTTACGATAGTTAAAATTTTTCTGCATGAAGAAAATATAGTCGGTTTCATTTTTAATGCTCATTGCATTTTTTTTTCATTAAAGTATTCAATAGTAGATTTGAATCCATGAATAATTTATCTGAAAAGTGAAATATAGTACATGTATTACAGTCCTAAAATCATCTACTGCTGAAATATAAATTGAACTAGAAATTACCTCTAGCTGTATCTTGGACAAATCAATTCATGATTACTATTAATTAAACAAATGTTCTACACAGATTTTAGTCATCTATATATAAAATGTCTAGTTATAACATATAACTGATAAATGCAATGCTGTCTCTATTTGTCAGGAAAAAAAATGTTTAAAATAGAAACTAATTATTATGTATCAATAAGTAAATCAGATTTAATTGAATCTAGTCAAAATATTCAAGAATTTCTTAAATCAACTAACGATAATTAATCGATTTCAATAATGGCGTATCTAAGAAGGGTCTAGAGGGGAGGGGACCCCGCCATCCCCACCGACGAGAAAAAATAGTTGATAGCAGCTGTGAATTTTTTTATTTTTCCTGTATATTAGGAGTACTTGATATTTTTTCTTTATGCAGTCTATGCAGCCAAATTCATAAGAAACGAATATTCATCCGTGTAAAAGCCAAATGCACATCGGATTCGTTTGGGTGCACCGAAAATGAAGCATCAAATGTTGTATTTTAGCTGCATCCCAACGTGCTCGATCTGTCTAATGGTGATGAAATGACATTTTTCACCTTACGTCTGAAATGTCTCAACATATTCAAATCTAATAAGGCTGATATTCTGAAAACATGTAAGTCAGAATACTCCACATATTACAAAAGTTTCATTAGATCTTATGTTTCTTTTACATTTTTATGATTGAAATATACATCCGTGATGGAATAATCAAAAATGGTAACATAATTTGAGTGTTGTGTAAAGAACTAGAAATTTCAGCTCAACTACAAATGTGACGATAAACTTTTCTATAAGAACTTTATAGATTAGATGACGAGCTATATATAGAAAAAAAAAATTCAAAATCCAAATACAGAGCCTGATATCTTGTCGCATGTATAGCATATTTAATTACATGTGTATGCAAAACATGAGTATGATGTTGGTCTCAAATACCGAAAACACCAACGATTTTTCGAGTGTTGATGGTATCATAGCGAATTGTAATTGTTGTACGAAACCGACAAATATCGAGAAAATCTTTATTTTTTACCCACATCCCAACAATAGGAAACATCTTCATCATTTTCTACGATACAACACTAACAAGAAAATTTCGATCATCATGTATAGGCAATATTGTGAAACTTTACCGTTTCAACAATCTTTTCCAACTATTCTATCCCGTATTGTAGGTTCTATGACAATTCCAATATCATTTACTCCAACAGAAAAAAGGCATTCAGCAAAATGAAACGCATCAAAACAGCTGCCCGTAATACTGCAGGTGCCAATTAAATTTCTCCCCTTTGTTTTATTTTGTTTTTATTACTATACTTCTTACATTTATTAACCCTAGTATATATATCGAGAAAGCCTGAAACGTACTGCTCCTTTTGGCATATTCATGTTAAACATCAAGTGAGGTTTAAAATGTAATAAATGTATTAGAAAAAAAGTGATATTTTGTTCAATACAATACCGGATGTCTATAATGTTTTAACATTGTTTATTTTGCATATATCTCGACTTGAGAAAATAATACAATATTGAATGTTTTTTTAAATAGATATATCGTCGAAAGCTCTGCAAAAGCTGTATGAACCAATGCCTATAGCGAATCAGAAAAGTCTTTCAAACATTTTCAATATAAGAAAAACCATTAGAACAGTTTAAGAGGAACTCAATCATATAGATTCTATAGAATTTTTCACGGCACATCTTTTGGAATCAAGTTGAAGATTTTATCATTTGCCTAAGCCGAGATATACACGAAATAAACAATGTTACAATATTATGGACATCCAGTATTGTATTGAACAAAATATCAATTTTTTTTCTAACACATTTATTACATTTTAAACGTCATTTGATGTTTAGTGTAAATATGCCGAAAGGTGCAATACGTTCCGGGCTTTCTCGATATATAGACTAGGTTAATAAATGAAAGAAGTATAGTAATAAAAACAAAGGGGAAAAATTTAATTGGTAACTGATACTTAATAAAAGAATATACATGTTGTTTTATGTCACTTTTTTAGGAAGCAGAAAATTAGGAAAGTAAATCAACCTTTCAGAAAACAAATTTCAACTATTGTGGAGACAATTATTAAAGACGGTGGAGCACTGCTGAAGAATATCGATCAACATATCTAGCAACATCAACAAAAGGAATTTATCAAAAAAATTCATCATTCTTCCTCGAGGTATTCATTACTTACAAGTTAGTTTCATTTATTGATTTATTACATATAATATTAATATTACTTCCAAAGAATCCTTAAATTCAACTATTAGTCTTACAAAAAGTCAATATTATTTGAATAAAAAAATTTGTTTAAAAAAATACAATCACGTTTATAATTCATTCCATTAATTCTTTTTGTTTTGTTTTGATGATGTCATCATATGAAAACATTTACCCAGAGTTGGAACACTTTTAGTCTTAGGAGAAAAAAGAGAAAAATTATTCTGATTGAAAATATCCAATAACAATTGACTGGCATTTTGCAAGTTCGTCTCCCTCAGTTTTTCATCCTGTAAAGGACACCGTCGAATAAGATCGTATATCTGTCACCTCTTTAGTTGTAAATTTTAATAGACTAGGAACATAGAGGATAAAATTCTACACATTTCTGTATATTTATTATTATTTTTACTGAATGCAAAAGATTTTTTCAAAAACTAAATAGTCTTAGGGAGTACACTCATTTTGGTTATTCTAGATATTATCCATGGTATTCATAATTTTTTTTTCGTGAACTCAACATGAAAACTAATTGTGTAGATCGACGCAGCTTTTCACGCTCTACAGAATAATATACGGTTAAACGTTTAACCGTATATTATTTTGTTGAGCGTGAAAAGCTGCGTCGATCTACACAATTAGTTTTCATGTTGAGTTCACGAAAAAAAAAATTATGAATACCATAGTTAATATCTAGAATATCTAAAATGAGTATACTCCCCAANTAGAGAATTTCAAGAACTACAAAATGATATATAAAACATAAAGAAACAAGAACGTTGACTAACCTATCACAAAGATAATTAAAGAGAACTAGCTTATATTTTGGTCCACAATCTAATTGATCCACAAATAGAGCTTTATCTTCCGGTCACACTGATGATACTTCGAGGTTTTCAGATATGGAGAACTCGAATGTGTAATGCACTTCCATCGAAATACTATTAGTTGCGCAGTGACCAATAGAAATGAAATTATAGGAAAAACGACTTTCTTAGGGTAAATCAAGGTGCAGAGTTCAAACTTGAGCTCTATTTGGTCCCATGTCCTGTTGGTTTGGCAATGCGCAATATAAATCAACATTTTAAATGGTAGATTTCACAGCATAATTTTGATATTCAGACAGTCTAGGATTATTGATTTTTATGATTCACTTTTTGAAGTACACATAACTCTCGGATTTAAATCCGAAGTTTTCGCATTTATTAATAAAACTGCTTTCGCAACTACTGTAAATTCTGGATTTGAATTAATCAAGCAGCTTCAAGAATGGTCGAAAAATAATCTAAATCAAGAAACAATATTTTGTACAATAGATGTTGCCCATCTATATACTATGGTACGTTAAACTGAAGGTGTACTTTCTTTAAAGAAAATGTTAGATTATTTAAAAATAAAACAAGTTGGTGGCCTTAAAGCTCAAACAATTATTCGAGTAAGTCGATTTGTTATGAAAAATAATTCTTTTTCTTATAATAGCCAATATTATCATCAAATTCGTGGAGAAGCTATGGGTTCTCCTTTAACTTTAACTATTGCAAATTGTTATATGTTTTTCTTTGAAAGAAAATTAGTTAATCAAATTCATAATAGCAATGGATTGTAATTCAGATATATTGATGATCTTTTCATAGCAATAAATTGGCCAGTTAATTATTTAATTAAACAGATAGAACGATGGAAAAAATTCGATGAAAATATTAAATTATCAGAAAATATTGCTTCAACGGTAGATTTTTTAGATTTACATATAGAAAATCAAGGTGGTGTATTATTTACTTCAATATTTTAGAAACCATCCTATGAGCCATACTATTTGCCTTTCAATAGTAATCATCCCTTACATATGAAGAAGAATATAATTCATACTATATTATTAAGAGCTATTAGATATTGCTCTACCTTCCAATTATATTTAGATGAACGTGAAAGATTACGAATGGCTTTACTATTGAATAAACATCCAAACAGATTTGTAGAAGAAGAATTTAAAAATAATTTATCCAAATGAAAAATTGATCAACTATTATCACCAAATAATTATTCTGAATATCGTAAAAAAGTTCTAGAAATTTCAATAAAAGAAAAGCAGTAGTTGATTATGAAAAGACCATGTTTGTCCATTTCACTTAGTGTTCAAGTATGAAAATGTTCCCATCCAAATTTCACATACTTTGGAACAAATATTTCAGTGAATCGCCTATTTATGGAGTTCGACCAACTTTAGGTACTAGAAATGTTAACAACCTACAAAGAAGATTAGTTCATACAAAATAAGCATTAACAATTAATATCATAAAAAAATAGATGCAATATATCATTTGGAATTTAGAAATTTATCGTATTCATCAATATGAAATTTACTTTATTAATAATAAAACAAAATTATATATACTATTTTATAGGTAAGATCTTAGATTTATTCTGCTTTGACTCACAACATTTTATAACCATCATCATAACCCGACTCATAATCGTAGTATATAATTAAATAAAAGTTGATATAAGATTAGTCGATTTATTATGATGGTGATTTAATTATCATATTAATTAAACTAATGAAGTTATTAAATATATATTTTGAATTCTAATAACAAAGAAAATAAAAATTATTTATCGAATATAAATTAATTCAAAGTATGAAGTTCTTAAATATATATTATAAATTTTAATAACAACAGAGATGAAATATTTATTTATCAAAGATAAATGATCAAGATACAAATTCTATTATAGTACAATAGTCCCTATATTATACAAATATGAAGTTTAATAAGATAAGATTAACGGAAAATTACTTTTTTTATCTAAAATATTAAATCATGTTTTCACCAACAATATCATCATTTATCTAATCGATATATTCTCGTTTAAAACACAATCGTTTACTAAAATTAGAATTCTTTCATAACAACTTATTCAATCAATTACCATATTACTTCAAAATGATATACTAAATATTCTGAAAAGAATTTAACACAACATGGTATAAATTAAAATTATTTGATACCGAAATTGTGTGTTAATCATCAATAACCCCGTTTACTATTATCATTATCATCCGTCATAAATCAATCTCGTGCAGTTCGACAATATATCCTGGAATGTCCATCTCAATTTAATTTCCATATCTTAGATCCCATTAAAAACAAAATAACTGTATATTTCTTAAATTGATTTTTGTTTTTATTCAAACTTAAATTCAACCTTCACCTTTTATTTTTTACTTAAACTTAAATTCGAATTTTTGCTTTAATTTTTAATCTTTTAACTTTTCATTGAAGTCTATTAATTTTTCTTTTTCTTTTTGTGCTTTTTATTATGATGCAGTGCCTTGAGGAGTGTTTCAATTTTTTAATAAATAAACATGAAACGCGTTTTCAAAATAATTTATCTGCATTATCATTTATTATTTTATTTGAAGCACATTTACTTAATTTTTAGTTTATTGAATAATAATAGTTGACAGATCATCGGTTGCTGAAAAGCAAAAGTTGGGACTAGCAGATTAATTTTTATTTCGTGAAGTAGAAGTTGATCTGTTTCGATTTGATCTTTCGAGTTCGTACACGTGGCCTATATTGTTATCAAAATTATTAATATTTCCAGTTCATGTAATTCATCTTTATTCTGAATTATGTACTTAATATTTATGTGAGAATTATTATATGGAGATAGGATCAAGCCTTCTTACAACTACTTATAGTTAAAGAGTTTATTGAATATTTCCATTTTGTTAAACGTTGAAAAGACACTTTTGAATTAATCTTGAACTAATTTTATCAATTGCAATACACTTATGGTTGCTCGAATCTGAGTCTATTCATATTCCTTATACTAATTAAATATGGATTATTCACAACATTGATTTAAGAACATTTTTCAGATTTGTTTGTACTTTATTCAATTTTTGTTATTTAACTTACTTTAAGCCCCTCTTTTGCTTCACTTTAATTTTATGGTATGCTTTTAAGCTTTGTTTGTTATTATAAATGTAGAGCCCTAATGAGTGTTTCAATATTTTAATAAATAACACGAAACGCGTTGGCAATTACCTCTGCATTTATTTTTGGAAAAAAGATAATTGAAATTGAAGCAAGAGTTGAGAATAGCAGCTTGATTTGTATCAAACAATAGATATAATTCGATCTGTTCTTCATTGACCCACACCCTGGCTTATTACAACTTACCAAGAGATATACATATCTCTAGTCCTGAAGACTACTATCCATAAAAGATACGAAAGGGGTCGGCATCATTAACTCTGCATTAACTTTTTCAACAAAAATCTAATTCAAGCAAGTTTTTTTAAGTATTCAATATTTGACATAGAAAATCGGTTTCTGAAAAGCAAAAGTTGAAAGTAGCAGATTGATTTGTATTTTGAGAAATATAGGTCGATCTGTTTCATATTGATTTAAGTACACCCACACCCACACCCTTAATCTAAAATGTCAAACACGTTGATTTATTATAATTGTATCTTGCTCTCTTAATATGAATGAATATTCTACATGTTTTCCATCAAATGAACACAATCCTAATTTCAAGTAAATCCATCTTCAACATGAAGATAGAAGCATGGAAAAGACTAGATTTGAATTTAAAAAGTATTAAAACTTTGTCAACTTTTTGGTCACATGAATAATGAATCGCTTATTTTCTACGTTTTCTCTTCTTTTCTGTTACTGCACTTAGCGTCATTTGTGTTTTTACCAATTATTACCTATGGTTCATTACTTTGCTTGTTACACGTATACTCTCATACTTCTCAGCGCTTTAAGTTGTAAAGCAGAACCCTGTTGGGTATGCTTATTTCGGTTTTACAACTTGACGTGTGCAATATACACACAGAGAAACAGATGAATAGAAAAAGATTACGCATTGTTTAAGAACTAGATAATAAAAGTCATTCAAAAGGACATCCTTTGGTTGCTACAACTTCCAATCGTAATTTCATATTCTCGTAATATGACCTTTGGTGCCATATAACTACCATTAACCTTGTCTGAAGTAGAAATTGTATTGTCAGGAACAATTAGGACAAAGAATGCTATCCCCGAGAAGATAAAAATAGATAACAAGAAAGAAAGGGAGAAAATGTATATTGAATATAATGCGAGCGTTAATAGCGATCTAATGCAATACATTATATATAAAGCAATAAAATGTATAAATGTGTTTACAGACAACGCGCAAATTAATAGAACAAAAGTTATAACTGTACCCAACAATAGCAACAATTATTTGATATACATATTTTTTACATAGTGAGTATATTTCCGTTATTTTCTCTTATATTCGCCTATCAAACTCTTTCACTTGTGTATCCAGAGTTGAGCAAACTACTTGAAGTACTCGTACTCTAAATCTGAGAATAATATATCTTGTACGACAATAGTATTTGATAAAATTGTTCCTTATGTTTTCAAGGATGAAATGGATAGCTGATTTATTTTTCTGTCCCATCGAAACACATATGTATAGAAAGAAAGAATTAGATCGCATGTCATAATATTACACAAGTAGCGCTCATGTTTTATTATGCTCTTGGGCTATTCATATATCTTTTTCTAAAATTGCTACTTAAATTTTCTCTGGTGAGATTTTAGAAAAACCTTACGTGCTGATTCTCAAAACAGCTCGTGTTACAATTTTTAAAAGTTTGCTTAGTAAGTGTGATGCAGTTAATTAAATAATTTCAAAACTGGATGATTTCAAATACTGCACGGATTTCACAATAGATTGATATCGGTATTCACATTCGATTTAGGTGTCATATCTACCAGAGTCTCTAATTTATAGATCATAGAAATATCTCATTATTAGAAGAGGAAAAACAGTTGTTTTTGAAAAAGCTAATTTCAATCTTTGGAATAAAAAGACGATATAGATTACAGTCATCATTATGTTAATGGAATAAAAATAAATAGACTAATTAAAAAAATGAACAAACACTCTCATTCAAAAAATATTTACTTCGTTTATTTTATCATGCTAATATTCAACTTTTTATGATCACGTCACAAGTTGTAATTTTAATGCATATGCTAGAAAAATCTTATTTAAATTTGCCTATATTTCTTATAATATATGTATTAGTTATTGACGAAACGTAAAGTTCTTTATTTCAAATGTTTCTTTTCTTCTATTAGAAATATTTCGAGCAATCAAACCAAGCGTATTTCTTTACTCAGGAGTTCAACAAACTTTGGTTTCTTTACTACTATTTGTATTTAGAGACCAAACAATTTGACAAATATCCATATAGCAGAAGTGGGTGAAGCGTTACATCTTCCTTTACTCCCATTTCTGTTTCTACAAAGACTACAGTTTCTCATGCCATCAATCAGGACACACAGAAATACTTTTTTTTTTCTTATGATTTTTGCCAATATAAGTCCGTTGATTGTCGACAATATTCATGCTTAGGATTGTATTGAAAAAACTACTTTTTGAAGAAAGTAAAAGACAAAGACAATCATCGAAAAAGTTTTTGTAATATTGTATATCAATTATGCAATTACATGACAGATAAAAGCTTCCGAGAAGTTGGTCTTTTTGTTTCTCTTACTTTCTTTGCTGTCATAACTTGTTCTTCGTGGT